ACTTTTCTTATTATTCAATTCAGATTGAATAATCTGAATTGTAGCAGGCGTTGGCTGTCTATCTCGGGTATAGCAGCTGGTGTTGGCTCTTGCCTGGGTGGTGGGGTTTTATAGGGTGTGATTGTAGCTTGGCTACATGATCACAATTGCTGTCTCTTCTTGGGTGACAGAGAGAGAGAAAGAGCCCCCCAAAGGTAAAACAGACCAAAACCCGAAACAACAGCATAAAACAGATTGTATACTACAGTCAATAATCGCAAAAAACCAAAACCTGTAGCAAAATACGAGTATGGCTTTAAGGCCCCTCTTTTGACTTCTTGCCTTCAAGGCCACCTGAGAAATTTCAAAATGTTACTGTTGCTCCTTGTGACATAACTCAGGATTTAATTTTCAGCCTGCTTCCTTCTTAGTCTGTTTCTCTCCCACTCCACATCCCCATTCAGGTGTTTCTCCAAGTGAGAAACAGCTCAGGGCTGGCTGGAGCCATTCATGGAGGTTGTTCCGTGTTGACTCCTCCCCCTTCTTAGATTCTGCACACAGTGGCCTTTGCTGAGCAGATCCATGCACATGTGTAGTAGAATCCTCTGGGGATGGGGTGTGTCCATTCACTCAGTTACCCCCTCTAGTCACCAGAGTGGAGGTGTGCAGACCAATGAGAGACCAATGAATGGAGGGGGGAAAAAAAGTTCATACTTTTTATCTCCCAGGATCGGTCAGACCTCTACAGTGGGAGTGCTTCTCTATCCTTCACCCCCTCAGTCATGCCTAAGATGACTGCTCTGGGAGCTGCTGGCAGCTGCATATCAGAAAACAACACTTTTCTTGCTTCTGCTATAAATTCCACTAGCAGTAAGCCTTTGAACTTTCTAAATATTCCTTTATATGTAGTTCAGAGTTCTGGGACTATCTCCTGAAAGTGCTTTGCATTGAGCTTCTCCCTAATCTGCCATTTGTTGTTAGGTGCCATCGAGTCAGTGCCGACTCACAGCGACCTTATGCACAGCAGAATGAAACACTTGCCCAATCCTGGGCCAACCTCACTATTGTTGCCACGCTTCAGCCCATTGATGCTGCCACTTGGCCAATCCATCTCGAGGAAAAAGATGGTTCTTCCTCTTTTTCTCTGACCCTCCACCTTAGCAAACACGATATCCTTCTCCAGCAACTGGTCCCTCCTGACAATATGTCTGAAGTATGAGAGACAAAGTTTGGCCATCTTGGCCTCCAAGAGAATTCTGGCTGCACTTCTTCCAACACTGATCTGTTGGTTCTATGGGCAGCCCAATGCACTTTCAATATTCCTTCCAACACCTTAACTCAAAAGCATCAATTCTTCTACAGTCTTCCTTTGCCTAATACATCATCTGATTTCTTGACTGCTGTTTCCATGAGAGTTGATAGTTGGTCCAAGTCCTTGACAACTTCAATCTTTTGTCCATTAATATGAATGTTACTGGTCCAGTGGTGAGGATTTTTTTAATTTACATTGAGATGCAATACATACTGAAAGCTGTGGTCTTTGATCTCCTTTAGTGTTTTAAGTTCTCTTCACTTTCAGAAAGCAAGGTTGTATCATCTGCATATCACAGGTTGTTAATGAGTCTTCCTCCAATCCTGACGCCACGTTTTTCTTCATAGAACCCAGCTTCTCAATTATTTGCTCAGCATTCTTCATGTCAATAAATTATTTTAAGGGGCTTTATGGCAGATTATACTTATGAATACAATCTGCCATAAAGCCCCTTAAAATAATTTATTGACATGAAGTTCACATAGTTTATCATCTTTTTTTTAGCTTGTTATTGTGAATTGAGTGAAGGTTTCAAAATTTATCATCTTAATTCAGTGGCATTTGCTGCACTCATAGTATTGTGCAGCCATGTTGTGGGTAAATGTGCTGGACTGCAAAGTCAATTTGAACCATAAGGCCACTGGTTCAAGGTCACCAGCTGCTTCTCGGAAACCCTGTACAGGGTTGCTATGGGTTGGAACCACTTCACGGCACATAACAGCAACAGTAACTGTTGTTAAGTACCACTGACTGTTTCAACTCTTAGTGACCCTACATAGGGTTTCCAAAGAGGGGCTGGTGGGTTTGAATCACCAACCTTGCAGTTAGTCCAGTGCCTATCTTACAGGGCCACTCCAGGACCCCTACCTCTATATAACTCTAAAACAGTTTTTCATCAACCCAAAGCCACCTGTTCCCTATCCCACCGCTGGCAACTAAGATTTTTTCTGTCTGTCTGTATTGCCTGTTCTGAATATTTCATATAAATGGAATCATCCATGGTAGCTTTTGTGTTTAGCTTCTCTCACTTAGCATAATGGTTGAGGTTCCTCCACAATAAGCATGCATAAGTACTTTATTCTTTTTTGTGTGTGTGGTAAAATATATAATTGGTTAATATACATACATTATTTCCACGGGAGAAAGATGAGGCTTTCTGCTCCTGTAAAGGTTTACAGCCTCGGAAACCCTGGGAGTCAGTCGGTACTGACTCCACGGTACTTAACAACAACATACATACATACATATAAACATTTCAGCCATTTTAAAACTTTTTTCTCTTGTACAATTTTGTGACCCCAGTCACATCAATCATGTTGTAAACTATCACCAATATCAACCACCAAATTTTCATTACCGTAAGGAGAAACTCAGTGCTTTCTAAGGAGTTTCTCTCATCCCCCCTCCTGCCCCTGGTAACCTTGAATAAACTTTAAACTTAGAAGTGTGCAATCCAGTGGTATTCTGTTCACAATGTTGCACAACCATCCATTTCCAAAACCTTTTCATCGCTTCAAACAGGAACTCTGTAATCTTTAAGCATTACAGTCCCTCTTGTCCACAGAAACCACTAATCCATCTCCATCGTTTGTAAATTTTATCTACTCTGCATTTCCCTATTTTAGATATCTCAGGTGAGAGCATACAGTATCTGTCCTTTTGTAACTGGCTTATTTCAAGCAGTGTAATTGTCAAGGATCATCCCTCTTTTATGGATCAATTTCACTTATCTTTTGTTATTAAAAGTGCTGTCAAGTTGATTCTGATTCATAGCAACTCCAATTTCTGAGGAGCAGCTGGTGGGTTTGAATACTGACCTTGTGGTTAGCAGTCCAGTACTTACTCTATAGCGCCACACCAGGACTTTTGTGCATATACCACATTTGTCTACTTATCTGTTTTTTCCAGGTTCTGAATGTTGTGAATTGTGCTGTAGTGAGCTTTGGTGTACATGTATCTCTTTTAGTTCCTGCTTTCAAGTCTTTGTAGGCCATCTTTTCATTTTAATGTTCTTTGATGCTTAAGTTTTAAAAATGTTGATCAAGTACAATTTTTTTCACCTATGGAGCTCTGGTAGCGTAGTGGTTACGAATCGGGCTGCGAACCGCAAGGTCAGCAGTTCGAAACTACCAGCCGCTCCGCAGGAGAAAGAGGCTTTCTGCTCCCATAAAGATTTACAGCCTCGGAAACCCTGTACAGGGTTGCTATGGGTTGGAATCGACTCCACAGCACACAACAACAAATTGGTGTCCTATGTATATGTTTTCTTCTAAGAGTTTTAACATTTTTGTGCTTACATTTAGAGCTCTCCTAAGTCTTAATGATGTAGGACTGATCTTTTGGTCATAAATCTATTTTGAATGAATTTTTAAAATATGGCATGAAGGGTAAGGGTCTAACTTCATTCTTTGCATGTGGTCCCAACACTATTTGCTGGAGACAGAAGATTCTTTCTCCATTGCATAGTCTTACAACCCTGTTTGAAAATCCATTGGCCATAAATGTGAAAGCCCAATACAGCTTTATTTTGTTTGACTTTCAGAAGGAGAGTATGAGGGCGTTGTGCCTGTCCAGTTCCCCATTCACACCTATAGACAGGCAGCTGAGGGCTCTGCAGAATCTTATGAACAACTGTATGACTGATTCTGATTGCGTCATGTGTTGGGGGGCAGTTCCTGTATCAAAGGAACTTTAGGTTTGAATCTCAGCTCTAGGGGATCCTGGAAAAGAAACTGGTGGTATCTGGTGGACCATGACCATCAAACAACAGGGGGCCTCACAGCCATGTGGGGGCTTAGAAAACAGCAAGCCACATGGTAGGCTGTACTTTACAAGTCCTTACTGACTTTCCTTTTTATAGGGACTTGGAATGTTGTGAAGTGCCTTAGAGTTGATTCTGATGCACACCAGCCACATTTAGGGGTTCCAATGGACAGCTGGTGAGCATGAACAACCGATCTTGCAGTTCAAAGTAACTCTGCAGTAAAGCACATAAACCCACACCACCATGCCAGGACTTGGAATAGTAGGGGGCTGTTATGGTTACAAGTACCCCTCTTAGTAGATACAGCAGTAAGCCTGGGAGAGCTGGGACTATGCTGGGAGCTTACAGTGGGATGTTGCTGGGAAAGTCCAGTAGGTAAGCCTGTTTCATCTTTTGTGTTTACCCAGATGCAGATGAGGAAAGCAACCACCTGGGACCATGCAGAATCCAGCAGGAGCCTGGCTAAGGGTGAGTAAAGTCCACCTGTTGTTTTGTTGTTAAGTGCTGTCGAGTCTGTTCCGACTCAGCAACCCTGTATAGGGTTTCCAAGGAGTGCTGGTTAGTTTGAACCGCCGACCTTGCAGTCCAGTGCTTTTCCCCACAAGGTCTGCTACACAGTTAGTTTTTGGTTATTTCTAAAGGGCAAGGAAGAGGGGCCACCAGAACCTCATTGGGATAGAGCTAGGCTCTACTGGGCAAAGACCACAAATGGAACATAGGAGGCCAGGCGTCCTCATTGTTGCCCCAGATTGCTTGAGGAGGCTGGCTCTGAGAACCTTACAAGTTCCCCAGGTGGTTCACCTGAGCACCACTTGTCTAGAAAGGCACTTTGTGGATGGACCAAGAATGATTTCACCTAGAGAATGATTTCACCTAGCTGTCTGTTTATTAAATACAGTTTCTCTTCAGAAGCAGCAGGGCTGCAGTTGTGGGGCGCAGCGGTCCTCAGTCACCCTCTGCCTTACTACGCACGGCCCGCACCAGCAGCTCCGAGTAGTGTTCCAGCAGAGCCCGCAGGTCTGGGCTGGCCAGGGGGCACAGAGTAGGTGGGGAGGGGGGACCCGGGCTGGCCAGGGGCCGGGCTGGGACCATCTCTGCCCCCCCAAGCCAGCTGGCCTCCAACTGACTGTGGATCCAAACAAAGGTGGAAGCCAGCGTGGTCCGGATCTGCTGCTGCTCAGTGCTGACATGGCCGCTGGAGACCACCTATGAGGAATGCCAGCCTGGTCAGGGGGCCTCCCAAGGCAGGCAGCCCCCCTCAATCCTTGGGGGTTGGCTTACCATAAGGTAAAGGTCAAGGGCTTCTTGGAAGGCAGTTTGTAGTCTGTGCACGATGGTCTCCACGTGGCTCAGTTCAAGGGGAGCTGGAGGTGGGACTCCAGCCGGCACCCCAGGTTCCACCCAGTGTCCGGGGCTGCTCTGGGCTAAACCGAGTGCACCTAGCGGGTAGAGAGGAGGGAATAAAGGCAGCTGATCTGAAAGAACACAGAGGGCTGTGCTGTTCCCAGGTGATGGTGTCTCTATGCCTGGAACACTCCACACAGCAACCACGGGTTCTCTCTGCTCAAAGACCAGATTCTCTCTGATGCCTTTTCTCAGCCTCATGGTTTGAAATTGCAACCATGCTCCCACTCTCACTCCCAAGCCCTTCTCCCTGCTGGGAACTCTCCTTAGCATGCACACCACCTCACAGATGTGGGGGTGGTAGAGACATTTCTGTGGTCTCCTTCCATGTCTTGAGGGCCTCTGACTTATGCCAAGTGTTCATTAATGAACACATTAAGGCTGGCCCAGCTTCAGAACTGGTGCCCAACCTTAGCGCTAGATGAGCTGGTACACGGAATGCATTCAGAGGACCATCCCTCCCTCATCCCCAGGGTGGTGCTCACCAGGGGTGGGCTCCAAGAGGGTGGCAGTGCTTCCAGGGATCCCTGGCCTGTGCTCTGGAAGCTGGGAGCTATTGGGGTGTGTGGAAGGGTTGAGGGACTCAGGGCCAGGGAGAAAGGAGGCTTCGTGAAGCCTTAGGGTGCATGTATTCACAGGGTTGGGGGATTGGAAGCTGGCTGCTGTGTTGGCAGCTACAGACTCCTGGGTCCAGGCATGTGGGGTGGGTTTCCCCAGTGGGGGCGGGGGCAGCAGGAACCTGTCACAGACACTGGACAGGGTCAGTCTCAGGTTGGCGCGGGCCTCATGGTTGCCCCAGGAGGGCAGGACCGGCTCTGGGTCCTGGCTGCCAGCGCTGGGCACAGCCTGGAGTTCCCCACTGGGTGAGGGCCTGTGAAGCGGGGGCCCGGCCGGCTCAGCAGGGTCCCTGAGGGAGGTGCTGTGTGACATCTTGGCAGGAGAGCTGACAGTGGCTTCCAGGTAGGAATGGGTGCAGGGAACGCAGATGCCCTGAGCCAGACCTGGGATGGGTCCAGATGAGGGTGGTGGGAGCTTCCTGTCTGTGGGGCAGGGAGCTATAAAGGAAGCAGACAGCTCACTCTTACACCCCACCCTACGGTGACAGTTCAGCTGGGTGCTGAGAGAGTCAGGGAGGTTGGGAATGGGGGACTTACTCAGTGGGTGCCAGGCCTCCAAGGTCTTGTGGAGCCCCTCAGTCTTTCCCCCAGAGATGAGCTGTAAGCACAGCACTGCGGTGAGGACAAGGTCTCCGGGCTCCCAGCCCCCTATCCTGAGGGAGGGAAGCAACCCTAGTACTCACATGGCTCTGGGCTGGGGAGGTGTAGCCAGTACCTGCTCTCAGGGACTCTGCTCTGGGCTGGCTTTCCCCTTGGTCCACCACGGCCTTGACCTCTGACGGCTTTGTGAGGTGCAGATGCTGCCGGTGAGGTAAGGTCTGGGTGAACCTGTGGGGAGAAGGCCAGGTGGGGGAGGAAGTCTCAGCCTGCCCTGGCGGGAAGAGCGAGCTGAGGGTGCAATAAAGGTTCACTAGCCCCACCTGGGCGTCTCCTGGAAGCGTGAGAGGAACTGAGCTGAGATGCTCAGCCGGGGGTTGAGGAGGAAGTCCTCGGCCTCCGCGTCTCTCAGGGACCTGTGGAAGAGCTCTAGGAAAAGACGAGAGAGAACCCTCAGAATCCCTCCAGCCAACTTCCCCTGGACCCATGCAGCCTTACAGATCAGCATGTAGACTCCCAGAAACCCAGAACAGGCAGAACAGTGCCCCTCAGTCCCTGAGGTCAAAGGAGTGCCTTCCCACCTCTGATCCTGCCAGGGGTCACCACACCCTGAGATGCCCACCCTGTATTCAGCACCGGATAGATGGTCCCGAGCAGCACCTACCCTCAGGGTGTACATCGGTAAGCGTCTCAAAGTGGTGGCGGAGGAACTTCTCCTGCTCCGGGGTCTGGGGCAGGGAGCTGTGGGGTAGGCCTGACGCCTCGGGCAGGGGCAGCTCTTCTTCAGCAGTACCCTGGCAGCCTGGGAGAGTGAAGGGGTGGAGATGGGAGGGGATGGAAGCTGTCAACAGCATGAGTCACAGCAGAAGCCACCTGACAGTGGAGAAAACTGGACTCACCTGTCACACCCTGTTGTCACCAGGCCCAGTGAGGGCCCAGCTCAGAGCTGAGGTGGAGCCAAATGCTTCTCTGGGTATCTGGCCCCTGCTTACCTGCTGTGTGGGGCACCATCATGTCAAACCGAGGGTCTGGGTCAGGCTGTGGAGGGGAGTGGACCATGGCAAAGCTGCACTCCAAGTCTGTCTCCGACTCCCCTGAGTCTGCAGAGGTGGGGTGGGGGTCAGGAGCCTCAGTCCCCTAAGTTGGACTATGGCATTCCCATTTTTATGGTCCAACAAGGTTGGACCTTAAGGAAAAAGAGGTAACGGCAGGGGCCAGACCTGTGTTCTGAGTTTTAGGAGGCTGTCCGAGCTAAGTCCCGCCTGCCCTGCACTCACCCTCAGGTGGGCTCTGGTCCTTAGAGCCGGTGGAGGAGATCCTCAGGTAGGAGTCATCTTGTTGGTCTCCCTCTTTCACACAGTGCTCGCTGTAGGGGAAGGGAGGGGAGGTGGGGGTAAGATGAGGGAGCAAACAACCGTTCCCCCCTCTGGGGCATGCCTTGGCTTCTCTCACCTTCCCCAGGGCACCTCTGCCTGGAATGGGGGCCATTGAGGTTGCGGCTGGGCTCTTGCCCTGTCCAGGCCTCCCCACATCCCAGGCCCACAGGGAAAGCAGAGTTCTTCCAGAGCAGAGCCACCAGCAAGGTGTCCACCCCTCCCCGCCTTGGTGCAAAGGGGCCCCCCTACCTGTCTGGTTCTGTGACGGTCACTGCTGCTTCCAGGGAGTAGAGGACGAGTTCACTGGCCTCACACGCCCTCTGAAGGGGCAGGAAGGACGGATGCTCACAGCCACTCTCCTGAGGATTCTCCGACTGGAGGTAAAAGAGAGTATGGCCACTCCAAGGGGGCTCAACAACTGTCCTCCCATGAACTCATTCTGTGCTTTCCACCCCCACCCCCATTTACAGACAAGGGGTAGAGTTGGCCCAATCCACACTGAGAAATGTAAGCACAGTAAGTAGGTTGCCTGGATAGCGGGGGGAGGTTACTGGCTGGGAGAGGCACAAGAGGGACATGTTTTCTATTTTGACCTAGGTGGTAGGTACAGAAGTATATACAATGGTAACAATGACTATATTTACACTATTGAACTATATATAGACTTTGGTTCTGACTCATAGCAACCCGTATAGGGTTTTCGAGGAGCAGCTGGTGAGCTTGAATCACCAACCTTGCAGTCTGGTGCATTCACCCACAGCGCCACCCCAGGACTCCCCTTATTAACATTTGTTGTTGTTAGGTGCCATCGAGTCAGGACCGACTCATAGCGACCTTCGTACAGCAGAACCAAACACTACCCGAGTTAATTAAATGTTTACAAATTAGCCTGCTCTAATTGGTCAGACTAATAATTTTGCATAGCCGCGAATGAGGTTATAACTATCTAAATGACCCTAGGCTTAAAAAAAAGGTTCCCCACTCCTGCTGTACAGGGTTTCTGAGGAGCCGCTGACCTTACAGTTCAAACCTACCTTGTGGTCCAGTGCTTATCCTACAGCACCACACCAGGACTGCTGGCATACGAAAATCCATGTAACAGAATCAAAAAAGAATTTTGCTTGGAAAACAATATAGGAGCTACTCTTGCTTGGGCACCTCTACTTGGCACTTAGGCACTTAAATGTCATCAAGTTGTTTCCAACTCATAGCAACCCTGTATAGGGTTTCTGAGGAGTGACTGGTGGGTTTGAACCACTAACCTTGCGGTTAGCAGTCCAGTGCTTATCCTACAGCTCCACGCCAGGACTCCCGAGTCAGTTCCAACTCACAGTGACCCTGTGTATAGGGTTTCCAAGGCTGTAAATCTTTGTGGGAGCACAGAGTCTCAAGTTTCTCCCAAGGAGCTACTGGTGGGCCCGAACACTGATCTTATGGTTCATAGTCCAGTACTTACTGACAGAGAGTTACCGTGCTCCCTACTTAGCATTTGTTAAGTGCCGTCGATTCTGACCCATGGTGACCCTGTATAGGGTTTCCGAGGAGCAGCTGGTGAGCTTGAACCACTGACCTCACAGTTCAAAGGACTTTGCAGTCTGACACATTAGCCCACAGCGCCACACCGGGGCTCCCCATTAGCATTAGCTCCCCATAAAATCCTTGCAAGGCAGAGGGTATTGTTATAACCAATTTTTGGATGGGAAAACTGAGGCCCAGAGAGGCAAGCCAGCTACCTGTTCCAGGTCACAGCCGGAAGCGGGTAGGGCCAGAGCTCTAATTCAGACACTGGCCTGCTCTCGAGCTCAAGCTCTAAACTCCCAAGTGGCCCACTCCCCTGGTCTGCCCTGGGAAGTTCTACTGTGCTCCAGGCCTGGGCTCATGCTCCTGCCCTTGATTTCATCATGTAATCAATCAAGCCTCTCTGCACCCTAAAAGTGGGAAGTGTTAACAGGCTTCAGGTCCTGTGTGGGCAGCTGTGGTACAGGCCAGATGAGGGCAGCCAGAACGTACCTCGTTCAGCAGGCCCACCAGGCTCTGTGGCTCCACCGTCTCCAGCACAGAGTCCTCCAGGCTCTCGGGCTTCATGGGGGTAAAGTAGCAATCCAGGTTCCGGGCATCCAGGATGGTCTTGAGGGGTTCCTGGTCAGCCCGCTCTGCCCAGCGGCCATGCGGCTGGTAGCTGCGCTTGGCATGGAAGGCTGAGCTGTCTGCCACATCGTCATCTCCTAGCTAAGGGGTAAGGGACAGTCAGGCAGCCAGCCAAGTCCTCGCCAACTCCAACAAGGGCCAGGGACACTGCCCAGACCCCAGCCCTTCAGTCTCTTGCTTGAAATAGCGAACTCCAGATTGACACCTCGCCCTCAAGCCTTTCCTTCAACTTCTGAACTGCCTCTCCAACCGCTTCCCACGTCTCTGCCCAGACATCTAACCACCTAACAGACAGCTCGGGCTCTCTGCCCCATTACCTTAGGCCTTCTCAAGCTCCGGTTTCTATTCCAGTTGCTCAGACCCCACACCTTGGGATTAGCTCTCATTTTCTCACCCTTATTCTGTCCCTTACAATTGTCAACTGTGTTTCATCAACCAATTCTGTCAGCTTCTAAACACACATCTCAAATCTAGCCACGTGTCCAGTCTTCCATCCTGGGCTGACCAAGTCACTTCCTTGCCAGACATCCTAATGTCTAGCGGTGTGACCTGAACAACTTAACTCTCTAGGCCTGTTTCCTTATCTATAAGAAGGTTAGGGGCTTTTCTCCTCCACAAACTCAATGAAGTCACAAAACCAAAAAACCCGAACCTACTACTTTCAAGCAAACCCCGACTCACAGCTACCCCACAGAGGGCTTCTGAGCCTATAAAGCTTTATGGGAGCAGAAAGCCTCGTCTTTCTCCTGCAGAACTGCTGGTGGGTTTGAACTGCTGACCTTACAGTTAGCAGTCCAGTGCTTTACCTACAGCACCTAGGAAACCTGAGAGAATGGCTCTGTGCCCTGACCTGGTCTGTAAGGTAGCGGATGACAGCAGGGACACTTCCCTGAGGTCTGTAAGGTAGCGGATGACAGCAGGGACACTTCCCTGAGGTCTGTAAGGTGGAGATGACAGCAGGGACACTTCCCTGAGAAACTGACATTCAAACTCTGACTTGAAGGATGAGTATAGAGGAAGAGTGGCTCAGGCAGAGGGAACCAGCACATGCAAAGGCCCTGAGGTGACCTATCTCCTAAGGCTCCCTTTGCAGGTGGGAGAGAGGAAAGGGGACAAGGTCTGATACTGTCCCTGATATAAACCCTCAAACTTAGGGCATAGTATTCTGTTGCCAACTTCTAGCCCATCGCTTGTCTGCCTCACCCCCAAGTCCACAGCCATTCTATCCTGATACCATCTTGGCCCCTTTCCCTCATGTCCACTCCACCAACTTCACCTTGGAAACCCACCCAGAATCCAACTGCTTCTTCCCCCGGTTCTCCCTGTTTCCGCATGGTCCCTCCCAGTCTCTTTCCTGCATGCAGCCACAGGGACCTGTTGATGCTTAAGTTAGATCATGGCTTTCTTCAGCCCAGACTGCTCCCTGGCTCCATCTCACTCAACGTTAGGGAGGAAAATGGTGGAGGGCAATGGGAATGTCCAGGGACTCAGCCCAGTTACGCTGCCATTCCCTCAGATGGCCTTGTGCCACCCCTCCTCACCTTGCTTCCTGCCCGCCCTTGAACATGCTACGCACATCTTGCCTCATGGTCTTTACACATGGAGACTGTTTTCTCTGCCTGGAACTTTCTTCCCCAGGGTCTGCATGCCTCAGACTCCCAGATCAAATATTTTCCCCCTAGGCTTTCTCCATTTCTACACAGCACTTGTCAGCTCTCAAATACTATGTTACCGCAAAGTGCCGTTGAGTTGGTTCCAACTCATAGTGACCCTAATATAGGGTTTCTGAGGATAAACTGGTGAGCTTGAACCATCGACCCTGCAGTCCAGAGCATTCACCCAGCGCCACCCATGCTAACTTAATGCTATCATTGCGCCTCTCCCACGCCAGACAGTGAGCATCTGAAGGCAGGGCTATTGGTCTAGCTTGCTCCCTGCTGTTACCTCCAGAGGTAAATGCACTGGGAAAATGAAGAGCTGTCCAAGCTGAGGCCAGAGGGATGCTGGGGTTCTCAAGGATGGGAGAGTTGTGGAAGGGGGAAGAAGGCACTCCCACACTGCCAGCCCCTGGGCGTCCCACTCTCCTGGCAGACTCACCAGCCGTTTTGCCCAGAGTGGCAGCTTGCCATTGGTCAACAGGCATCGAGGATCTGGGGAGACACATGAAATCCATGAAAGGAGAACAACGGACAGTTGTCCAGAGAGGCGCCACAGGGACAGACAGATGTGTCACAAGATGCCCCACGTCACTGTTGGGGAAATGTGAACCTAAGAAGGTGCACAGCGCTTTCCTGATCACAGCCACTAAAATGGAATGCGTTATTAACAATGGTCAGTGCTAGCACACTAGAGGGGGGTGTTGGTGCAAGGGGCCTCAGGTACTGGGCCAGTCACTGGATTGGAGCGCTCGCTGGGGTTCTCTTCTAAAATGGAAACGTCCAGACCCCACAACTCAGAAGCTGTACTCCTCCACCTCTATCTGGGAGAAACACTCAGTCAAGGCGGTGGCCTGGGCCCACTGGTACAGCCTTATTCACAAACTGTAAAATTAGGGGGAACAAACCTTAAAGGCCCACACAGAGAGAAATGGCTTAAAAACTCAACTCCGCCCCTGGTTAAGAAATGGCTCTATTTTGTAGCCACTGGAGAGGCCACTGGGATTGGGCATAAGGGCAGGACAGGAAAAAGGAGGACGAATTATCATGTTGCTTCCTGTTTGCCCCTGGCTGGCAGAGCTCACCACCTCCCCTAAAAACGATCAGGGCTAGTCACCGTTCCTAGTCTCTCCCCATCTACAGCAGTCCTGGTAACAGGACCCAAAGAAAGACTGGCAGGGCCTTCTGGGAAAGTGTCCTGTCTCAAAGAGCTTCTCAGAAGGGCCTATCCATTCCTGCTCTTCCCCCATGTCTCTGATGCTGGAATTCAGGCAGTTACCTTGAACCAGGAGAGGCAGAGACGAAGCATTTTCAAAGAGGGGAGGCATGTAGAGAGAGACATAGACTGTTTCTGAAGTAAATCTCCCTTCGTCCTGAACAGCAGCACCTTGTGGTCCCCCCACCCGGAGCACGTCCTTACTCCCTCCGTTTTGCTCAGGTGGTTCCAGGGGAGCTGACCAAAGCCTCTTCCTTCACAGGACATGACTCAGGCCTGGCCAACCAAAGCGACTGGTTCAGAAATGGGCACAAACTTCAGCCCAGGAATATGAGTCAAAACTCCAGAACTTTCTGTTAGGAGCTGCTGGGGGTATCTTTGCCCCCAGTAAAGGGAGAATCAGACTGAGAAAGAAGCCAAGAGAGAGAAACAAACATCCTGGTACCACTTTTGACATCATCTTCTCTTGCCCTGGATCCAGCCATGCCTGACGTTAGTACACTCACACTTCTCAGTCACATGAACCAATCAATTCTGGCTCCAGCTTAAGCCAATTGGAATCGGATTGCTATTACATGGAAAGTGTCCTGACATATAGATTATTGAGCTTCAAAACATGCCAGGCCCCCCAAAACTGAGCAAAACCAGGCACCAATGCCTTCTCCTGTGGGTGAGCCCCTCTTTCCCAACCTGGATCCAGGCTCTCTTTGGATGGCGTCTTCAGCAACAGCTCAGGGTCATTCTCTTCCTCCAGCTCATCCTCTATCGGCTCTCCAAGGCTCAGGGAATGAATCTCACTAGGCACGGGTGCGTATGTCTCCTGCCTAATGGTGAGAATGAGGGCAGTAAGAGGAGAACGGCAGGAAAACAGGGGTGTGCAGCCCTATGCTAAACTCCATAGTAATACATTCTCAGCGCTGGTCAAGATGGGGCTGGGAGGGGTCACAAACCACACCCCCCTCCACTAGAAACGTGGTTGTTGTGGGCTGTCCAGGCAGTTCTGACTCATCAACTCTGTATGGGTTTCCAAGAGAGGCTGGTGGGATTGAACTTCTGACTTTGCGGTTAATGGTCCAGTGTTTATCCTACAATGCCACGTTATATTGCCACAATAAATGAGATATAACAAAGGCTGAGTTCAAAACTGAGACACTCTCTAAGGGCTACATACAGCAATGGGGTAGAAAGCAAAACCTATAGCAGGGCTTGAGCCCTGAGCTTCTGTGTAACACTGAGATTTGGGCCCTGCTGGTGTACAGGACACTCTAACATGCTTGACATCAAACAGGAACTGGAGCCAAGACCCTGTGTGTTTCCGAACTAGTTGCTGAAGGAAGGGAGCAACCCACTCCCTTGGAGCCTAGATGTGTGATTTCTCCACCAGGTCCAGGCTGGGCCCAGAAGCCTTCATAGAGAGAACAGCAAAACTACCAAACAGGGACAGACCCCGAGGGAGGAGAGAGAACTAAAAGCCTCCCCCACTTCAAAATAAACCTCGCTAACCCAATGTCTGGATCCAGACTAGACGAATAGCAGTGGATTTGTGGCATAACAACATAAGAAAACTAAAAGATACTCAAAGAAATAAATGAAAGAAAACTCATTTAAGGAGTACAAATTCATGTAACCAAAAACTCTTTCCCCTATGAAACAGGGCATCTTGGCTCTGCTGTCCCCTCCCCTCCACTGGTTGGCCAGGGACAAGGGGCTCTCTGGTCCCTGTAGCCCCCCTACGGCTTTCTCCATCACTGCGCTCAGAGATTCTCTAAGCACTTACGACTCCACCTCAAAACCCTTATCCTATGGATTATTATCCCATGGATCATTATCCTATGGATCATTATAACTATGGATCGTTATCCTATGGATCATTATAACTTTGGATCATTATCCTATGGATTATTATCCTATGGATCATTATAACTTTGGATTATTATAACTTTGGATTCAAACTCTGTCTCCTCCACTAGACTGCCCATGCAATAAGGGCAAGGCCCAGGGCTGTCTCGGTCACAGCTATGTCCCCAGCATCGTTCCGCACGGGGCCTAGAACGGAGACTAATGGGGATGGTCAGGTGACTGCCAGTACCTGGGGTGGCGGCTCCACTTGCGGTCCTTCGTATTCTGCTGCTGCTGCTGTTCACGGTGATCTATCTCCAGCAAGTGCTGCTTCATGCAGTTGGTGATTTCTGGGCCCAGGTGCCAGATGAACACGCAGCTGCAGAGACCAGACAGAGAGGCAGAGGGGGATGTCCCGGCCACATCCGACTCTGGCAGTCACCAGGGTCCCCACAGCCAAGACTCTGTCCCCCAGCTCCACCGGCATAGTGCAGGACAGTGCCAGGCTGTGTCAGGCCTAAGCTTGGGCCTGGGTTAGGGCGTCCCAGCAAACTGAGGTCTGCTCTGGAGGCCCTGAGACCCGATACGGGGCTGTAGGGCAGGGAGATGCACCAGGGTATCAAGTGTGTGGCTAAGGAATTTATATGAGGGGATTTCTGAAAATTTGTGGAATGGAATGAAAAGATAATCTCCCCCCCAGGAACTTTTGGAAGCCCCCTTGTATATGTCATCGCATCTGACTCTCATCACACACTTTTCATGGGAGCTGCTGTCCTTCTGTCACAGAGGAGCAAACGGAGGCTCAACAAGAAATGGCCTGGCCCAGGTCACAGGGGCAGACCTGAACTGCAACTCGGAGGCTGCGAGCACACTGTCTCTGGAGTCTGACTTGGTTCCCCTCACCCAGCACGGGTCCCACCCGTCTTCCCACCTGTCTCCAGACACGGTGATCAAGTGGCGACAGTCGTAGGTGAACTTCATGCCAGTAACGATTTCTGCAAGTACAGCAGAGAAGCCGCCTTGCTTCCTGAGTCTGGGGTTGTGTAGGTGGGGAAGGGTGGGCCAGTGTCCCGTCCCCAGCAGGGTCACCTACCTGAGTGGCCAAACATCTTGGCAATGCACTCGCCCGAGTAGAAGTCAATCACAGAGATGCTTTTATCAGAGCAGCTTGTGGCCAGGAAGGTGCCAGAAGGGTCCACGTGGACCTGGCGGGAAGAACCACCTACAGGACCATGCCTGCCTGCCTGCCTCTGCCCTACCGTGAGGCCTGGGCCAATGAGTATGCTCCCTCCTGCCGGAGGCTTAACACGTGGTGCTGCCTGGGTTTCCCTCACCACACACAGGCTGGTCTGACAGGTGGAGACATGAACCACCACAACGGCAGCCGGGCCTGTGTTACATACTATACACACAGGAGCCAATGTCTTCCGCAGAACCACCCTGGGATGGAGGCTGTTTGGATCTACAGGTGATGAAGAAGGCCACAGGCAGCCCAAGGCCACTCTGGGATCCGAGCTCCTGAGAAGCAGCTAGCTCTGGGCTTCCCACCTTGGCCTGGGTCACATTTGTCTGGCAAAGGGCAAGCTGGGAGAGGAGCCCAGGCCTCTCCACTTCTTCCCACCACACCCTGTTGCCACATAAAACGGAAACCATGACAATGTCTCCCTTTGGAGAAGAGCTCTGTAAGTAAACGTAAGGCATTCAGGGCCATTCACCCTCACACCCCTGGCCCACTTGCAAGCCTTTATTCACCCATGCCAAGGAAGATGCCATCTGTTCCCCTGCTCCCTCTAGTAGCCTGGCAGCTGGCTGCTTGGAGGGCAAAGGTCTCAGGGCTTCATGTGATGGTGTCTGTGTGGTTTCCATGGGGCCACTGCTCCTCACCTTCAGTAGCGACCCTTCATCACCCTGGGAGCCCTTGTAGCACTTCTTCTGTTTCCCATTCACGGTGTTGTAGACTCTGGGCAGGTGAGGGCATAACGTGGCCATTCCCACCCTCTCACTGTCTGACTCCCACCTTACCTGATGGTCTCCTCTCCCCTGGGAGCCCGTGCCCCATGCCAATTCCTGACTGAAACACCGTCTCAGGGACTGAACTCCCACCTCAGGCAGAGGTTCTGGAGGTGATGGCTCTGGGTATGTGTTGGGTTAATGTCTGCACCCCTCCCCCGCATCCCGTAAGCTGAGGGCCCGGAACTCGATTTGAATGAGCAAATGAAGGGGCTGGAGGACTTCCTGGCACATGCTCAGCCCTCTGTCCATAGTCCCCCCTTTTCCCTGACTCCTCTTCCCAGCTCACAGGAACCCCACGATTCCCTGACCACTGGATGCTATCACGACCTGGTGAGTCCAGGCTGTCCCACCCCGACAGACACTCAGAGGACGTGAGGGAAGCATGAGTTTATGAGGTACTTTATCACCTCTCAGTCGTCTCGCAGAGAGCTGGAAGTAAGCCCTCCACTGATCTGGAAGTGAGCTCTGAAAAGTCTGGTTCCTAAGAAAACACCCACCTGAGTCCTTCCATCGCCCAGCCCTTTAAAAGACAGACCCTGTCAGGGACCAGCTCGGGCAGCTCCTCACCTCACGTTCCGGTCCTGGCAGGCGACAGCCACGTACTTCTGGGTGATGTCAATATCCATGTCATACAAAGTGGTCTTCTCTGCCACGTGGTGGGTCCGGACAAAGTGGAGTCCATCCGAGGCCTGTCAGGACAGGCAAGGCCTTCAGAGGACATCCCTGAGAAGCCCTCCAACCTAAGCCCCCAAGGAGGCCACTCCACCTTACCTGCTGGGCACTGCGAAAGTAGATGCTCTTGTCAGCTCCACAGCTGATCATCTGGATGTCTCTGTTGCCTGGTGGAGGGGGAGGAGGAGGTGAGGTGTTAGGCAGGGCTGCTCCACTGGGACACCTGATTGGGGCAGTGGAGCCCCTGTGGGGACAATCCACTAACTCTACGGAAGTCAGGGAGAGCTGGGCAAGGCAGGACTCTGGATGATGTGAGCTGTGTGTGGAAGGAGGGTGCAGATGGAGCTGTGGGTGCTGAAGGCTTCTGCGGAGAAAGCTCACAGAAACAAAGGCAGAGAAGAGCCACCTCTCCTGTGTAAGACCCAGAAGGGTGGCTTGGGCAGCAGAGTGGAAGGAAAACTGGAACAGGGACCAAGTGGTCTGTAAACCATTAGGAAACATCAGAACGTCCACACACACCTTGGCCTGCGCCTCACACTGGAGACTACCTGCCCACCTCGTTTTGAAGGCTCACGAGACCCACCCCTCAAACTCTGCCCCCTCCCCACTGTACAAATGTGAACAAACGGACTCAGAGACCCAGTCCTCATAGAGCCCTTGGAAGAGTGGCTGCCGTATGGTAAGCACTATAAGCATTTTTGCTTTCGTTATTTTTATCTCTTTGCAGAGTAATAACAACACAAATAGCTCATAGAGAGTTGACTCAAACAGGAGTCACGTGCTTACAGAGTTTTATTTAAAAGTAAAATCACTCAAAGAAGTAAACCCTCTGTCGGCGAGGGAGAAAAGTGTGACTTGGGAGGGTCCTAGAGAGAGGCCTGCAAACTATCAGTAAAATTTTGCCTCGTACCCTGGGAGGTTCTATTCAGAGCATGACCACTGAGCACAGTTGCTGACTATAACCCATGTTGCTGTGTCTGTCCTCATTTAGAACTATGATGTGGATACTGATTGGCACAGATACTGCATTCACTGGTTTGGATGGAGACACAGGCTGGCAGGGTGGTTCAGGCACGTTCTGGTTCTGATCAGCCGGTGCCCAGAACTGGTCAGTATTTTGAACATAGCCTCCAAGTGCATCCTCTCAGCCAGAGCAGGGCTCTCAGGAGCTGAATTTCGGAAGGACCATGGCCAGCAGAAGGGGCCCTTAAGGACTGGCTTTTGGGTTACACCCTGGGCCAGTCATCACCTGTCCTGGAGCTAGTCCATCTAGTACAGGTAAGGTTAGATTGCTAGATTTCCTTAGTACCTACAGCCCATGGAATGGGAGAATCTAAACAGCTTTTAAGGCTACCTGGGAAGTTCCTGCCAACTGTCGCTTTTAGGCCTTCTTCAAAACATTGTAAACCCTGTTAAGTTTTCTTTGCCCAGCTCCCCACCATCTTAGCTAAAAAAACAGGGAAGACACAAAGTGGGGAACCCAAGGCACATTAGTACACATTCTCATTCTCAAGACTACATGCAAGAACAGAGTCAATGAACGTACTTATTCCATGATTCAATTCTTCTAGAGTATCATTTTGAACACATTCTTGTATTTTAATCAGCTAAACCCCCACAAGACCCACCTTACCACCCCAACCCTCCATGCCCCCAGAATCCTTTCAGGTCAGGGAATTCCATGCTGAATCTTTCCCATCCTGTAGGGAGTGGGGGGCAAGTGGGAGCAGGAGGCCTGTGAGTTAGACCTGGCCCCAGAGAACACCCCAGTACCTTGGCACTGCTGAGGGCTTCTGGGAAGAACAAGGAGGTGAAGCCAGGAGAAGAACAGTCAGCTCCCAACTGCTGGCAAAGCTGGTCAGCAGAGTGGAGCTCTCTTTCCAGTGGCATAATGGCCAGCAAGTTCCTGCCCACCAGAAAAAGGCAGAACTGATAGAGGAAAATTCTGGTTTTTAAAGAATTCCATGTTTGGACTCAACTGTGCCTGAATCCAGAGCCTGCGTCTCCCTTTTAAAATTTAAGCCAGAGGGCATTTTTGCTGTTGATTGTACCCAAAGGAGCCCAGCGAATGAGGCACAGGAAGAAGGGGCTCACCAGCAAACTTGATGGCCGTGATGGAGGAAGAGTGGTCGTCTAGGGTCTGCTCCAGATTGTAGTTTTTCTCCACGTTCAGCACATGGATCAGTCGGTCCCGACTGGCTGAGGCCAGCAGGGTCAGCCCTGTGAGGGGAGAGGATGGACCTGGACTCCCTGACCTGCAGCCAGAGCACTAGGACCAACCTTTCCAGTCCTGCAGAAGGGGTTTCGGTTCCAGACCTACAGCCAACTTGTCCCAAACCTGGAAGGGGCTACTCTCTCTACTGTGGATGGTCTTTCCCTGGGGTCCACACCCCAAGCCACCAGCAGTTCAGGGAGATGACTCTTAGCATATACACAGGTATCCTTCCACACACCCACACAGACAATTCATGTTTTCCCATGGAGTACAGCTCTAAGCCAAGCCATGGGAAGCCCTGCCAATCTTTCACTCTCGTCTGAAGCCACTGCCCACTTGCTCTCTACGTGCTGGCCCATGGGCCTAGTTCAAGCACTGTCCAGGTCCTACTAACCAGCCACCAGCATGCTTGCTTCTACTATTGGGTATTCCGTACCAGCCCCCTCAGACAGGGCCCACCCTGTGCACCTGTATGTCTGAGGCCTAACATAGGATCTCCAGAGGAAGGAGCTCAGGAAAGGTGTACTGAGCAAAGAGAGATTTAAAGAAAATGTGGTGGGGTGGGGAATGGACGAAGGAAAACCAGATGTGAGGGAAGATCACTGGTTAACAGCTACCTTCCACCTAAGTTCTATTCCTGCCACAAATGTACTCTCGGAACAAAACACAGAGAAACCACTCAGACAAATTCAAATTGAGGGAAAGTCTACCAAATGACAGTCCTGTACTCTGCAGCAAGCTAAAGTCATGGGATAAATAAACAGAGGTGCTGGGAATTTTCCAGAATAAAGGCAACTAAAGAACCATGACAACGAAATTGTGAACATTAATTACAATTAATGCTATAAAGCACAATACCGGGACAGACAACTAATGGAAGTTGGACAGTGAATAAGACCACTGAAGAATTGATGCTTTTGAGTTATGGTGTTGGAGGAGAATATTCAAAGTACCATGGACTGCCAAAAGAACCAATAGATCTATGTTGGAAGAAGTGCAGCCAGAGTGCTCCTTGGAGACCAGGATGGCCAGACTACATGTCTCATACTTTGGACATATTGGGAAGAGAGACCAGTCCCGGAGAAGGATCTCATGTTTGGTAAAGTGGAGGGTCAGAGAAAAAGAGGAAGACCCCCAACAAGATGGACTGGCCAAGTGGCAGCAGCGATGGGCTCAGGCGTGGCAATGACTGTGAGGATGGAGTAGGACTGGGCAGTGTTTCGTTCTGATTTGATGGCACCTCACAACAACAACAATAGGCCAAAGCATGAATGATCGTGCACTATTAATGTGAAATTCCCCAAATTTGATAAGTAAATATGTCCTCTTTCCAAGGAAATGCTCATGGAAGTAGTTCAGGGTGAACAGATGCCATGCTTGAACGTTATACGAGGAAGCTTTAAAAAAAAATTGGTGGGAAACTCCATTCTTTTAGTTCCATTTTTCCACGAACTTTCTGAAGCCCCCGTATTGTGTGTGTGTGTGTGTGTGTGTGTGGTCACATGCAAGTACACGCACACACACACTCACACAGACAGAAGTGAGAGAGGGAAAGTGAATACAGCCATCCATAGGAGGGGACTTCACAGAGTTTGTGGAAAAGTTGAGTTTAAAGATAATGGATCTCCACTGAAGAGTTTTCATTCTGTCTAGACGAGTCTGGTGAAGAGATGGGGAGTAAAATTTTATGATTCAAATTTATGCACCAACCACTAAAGCCAGTGAAGATGAAATAGAAGAATTCTACCAACTTCTTCAGTCTGAAATCGATCAAACATGCACATTACTGGTGACTGGAATGCAAAAGTAGGGAGCAAAGAGGAGGGACCAGTAGTTGGAAAATTTGGACTTGGTGACAGAAATGATGCTGGAGAACGAATGATAGATTTCTGCAAGACAAATGATTTGTTTATTTCAAATACCTTCTTTAGACAGCATAAGAGACGACTATACACAT